ACTGCACATCTTATAAGATACTAAATACATTTGAATACATTTGTTCATACTTTTGTTAATACTTTTTCATATATGAATTCTATGCTGTTAAAACCTAAAGCAGATTTGATTACCGTTATATTTATATAGTGATGATTAAGTTAATTATTATTTTAACTGATTTTCATGCTGATCTTTTTATTTTAGATAGTAATGTAATATTTAGTTAAATTTGAGGATGAAGTAGGAGTGGTTCCTGATTGCTGGTTAATACAAGAATCAGCTTCATGTTATTGGCCTAAAGGTATTGGTGCTACACAATGGGCAAAAATGAAAAAGTTAGCAATTCTCAATCACAAAGACTGGCCTCTCTATCTTTATCCCAACCATGTAGCAAATGCATAGAATGCCTTGCCAGACAACTTAGTAAATACTACCTTAGTGAAAAACTAATTTAGACCGGCATTTAAAACAGTTACCATAGCACATCATTTTATGTGGCTGCTTTTATTATGCTGCTATACGAACTAGATTTGCTAGTTAATGATGAACTTATGGTTCATGTATTATTCTGTGTAACTTAATAATAATAATAATAAAATTAATAATAATAATAATAATAATAATAATAATAATAATAATAATAATAATAATAATAGTAATATGACTTTAATGGTCAATTCATTAATCATTATAATACATAGTTATAGTTTAATAATGACCTTACATTTATGTAAACCAAATTGGCTTTCAAATATCACAATAACAGTTGTTAATCATATTTGAAGTTATGCATGATCTTTAAATAGATCTTTAAATAATGTCATGACATGCAGAGCATGAATATTCAATAATTTGCCATTATTCTCTGATACTATACCGGTGTTGGGCTGTGATTAGCCATTTGAAAACATTATTGGCCCAATATTGGAGCCATGATTTATCTAGTAATTTGTTGACAATTGCCCAATAAAAGCCAAATTTGTACTATCCAATATTTTGCCAAAAAACATAAAAACAAGGTCGGCAATTTTTTGCTGACATAAGCACTTTCAGGTCAGCAGTTAAGCCGACCCTAATTCCGAGGGTTGATATATATATATATATATATATATATTTTTATTTTAATTCACCTCCTCAAGGCCGAGAAGGCCACTACAGACGAGGAGGCTTTTTATTTGTGGCTATAACCCTCTCTCAACTCTTTAACTCCGAAACACGAACCCTGACGAACAAGGCCGCTGCGCGGAGAAACGAGCGCGGTACTACCAGGGACGTGGTGGGGATCGAATTCGGAACCACTCGTTTATGAAGCGAGCGCTCTACCACTACACCACTACCGCATTATATATATATATATATATATATATATATATATATATATATATATATATATATATATATATATATATATATATATATTATATATATATATATATATATATAATCTACAAAAATAGTCTTTAGCATACCATAATCAAGATTATTCTTTTAAAAATAACAGAAGCTCTGTTTTTAAATTGTCTGTTGTTCACTTACTTACAATTTATTCTCTTGCTTAGAGGCTATTTTTCTCTCATAAGGCACAATCATTATTTAGTTATTTAATAAAATTGAAATTTTCAAACTTATAACAGTTGTTACAATAATATCAACAACTTGATAACAATTATATTGTTATCAAGTTTGAAAATCATAATTTTATAAACTAAAACTGTTTACTCACACTTTTACTGTTATTTTCTTTAAAATTAAACAGAAGTCTTTACATAAAAAAGTTTTATAATAAAAGATTTGAGTAAAAAATAAAAACAGTCTAAAAAAATTTTTAGGCTAATTATAACTCTGTCTACTCTTCATGAAATTGAAATGAGGAATACATTAAATGAAAAGACTTTTACTTCATTGTTAACATTCAATTATTATTTACTTACTACAACTACAATAATTTTCTTTAATAAGTGTATGTTTAAGTATGTGATATATGTGTAATATATATGTGATGAGTATAGTATATATATATTTTTTTATAAAAGTGCATTTTGCTTGTTTGAAAAATTAAATTATGCTTGGACTATGTTTGTTAAAAATATTTGTCAAGTCTCATTGAGATGTCTAACACAGCTTTTTCACTAATTTTACATCTGGTTAACAACTTGGAGACATTGTAGCTTTTTATTGCTTCTGTATAAACTTTTCTGATTAAAAAAGATATTAATGTTTTATGATTGTTTTTATTTGGTTCTATATTCCAAAATTGCAAATTTTCTCCACCGAATTTTTAGGAATCCATCAACAATTGCATCTACTTTGACTTAACCACTAAAACAAATTTTTAGTAAATAAGGATGCATACATTTTAAATTTTTCAGCTCAGAGACTTATGCTTGTTGCCTACTGTTAAATAAAGTGATGAAAACTTTTTGTACCAAGTAAGCTTTTTTGTCAACAATTCAAAAACTGAAAAAATTACTTCATTCTTTAAAAAAAAGAAGCACATGCCAGATTTATTATTTTTAGTAAAATTGAATATTTTTGCAGCAATGAGAATTTTTGATTCATTAAAGACTAGAATTGGAAAAAAGTCTTTAAGATGCCCCAACAATGCCTTGGTGACTACTTTTGATGCAATCTTGCAAGAAATTACATCGCTATATCACCATTAAATCTTCAGCATGATAAAATAAATTTTAAAAATTTAAAAAAAAATTTGTACTGGCAAATTCAATCATCAGAAAAAAAAAGATTAACTATTTGCAATACAGAAAGTTTATTGAACAAATATGATTCAAGATTATATGGTAAGTCATCAAATATAAAACATAAATTAATTGTATAATTTTCACGAGCATCTGATCTTATTTTATTGAAATAAATGGTGGAGTATGCATTGTTGTTGGTTCCAATGGTAACTCTGGATTATTTCTTTGTACGGTAAACAAAGTTTTTTTCTCCACTGTTTTTACTCAATTGTTTTATTTTCATACATTGTTGCATAAACAGACTGTGCATTCAATTGACTATCTACCACAATGTTACTAATACTATTTGAAATGAGGGTGCTTGAAATTGGAATGCAACAAACAAATCCTTTAGATTAAAAAGTAGTAACTGTTTTGATATAAATTGATTTTTTGATACACTTACAGATTATGTTCTTACATACAATTACCAACTAAATTTATACTTGAAATAAAAGCTTTCCACTTTATTAATATAAGTAGGGGAAGGCAAGGTTGGTTGTCACACTTTTTATGTTTTAGGATGCTTATATTTTATTTATCATTAAACCAATGCCAAATTTTGCACAAAGGTAGTTTAACTAATATCGGTAACTATTAAAACAATTTCATAGCATTATATTAAATATATTTTGTTGTAAAATCAATTTTCAAAGACCTCTGCTGAGTAACAACCAACCCAAAGCATGGGGTTGGTTGTCACAGAGTGTGGGGTTGGTTGATGTTTGGATTATAACCATATAAAAGACAAATGTTGTATTTCTTATTTTACAATTATATTTACCACTGATTTGAAAGATTGAATCACACTTTGTAGTGGTTATACATATTAAACTTGAAAAATAAATATTTTATATTATAGAGGCTTAGTTAAACAAATACAAAACTTTTAGTTTATATTTTTAAATAAAATTATTAAGATACTCCTAAATAAATGCTGACATCTTAATATGAAAAATTTGAATAAGCTGTTTGAAAAACCAACAAGCGTAGTCTAGGCAAACATGACAACCATCCCCATTTATTTTTTGACAAATGACCCCTTCTATAGTAGCAGAAAAACACCTGTAAATTTACTCAAAAGCGTATGAATTTCATGAGAACTTTTATCTGAAATTCAACTTTTACATATCAAAAACACATTTAAACAAATAACATTTTTTCTACATGCTAAAAAAAAGGAAACTGTTAAAATGTCTTTTTAGAATGTAAATAAGATATAGAATTTAAAAATTCTATATCTTATCTACATTTCTTGTAATAAATTTTGTGACAACCAATCCGCATGACAACCAACCCTGCTTTCCCCTATATTATTAAATGTTTCATATCCCCTTTTTAACTCTGAGTGTCCTTGCTTTAGTTATGGTTGACTCTCCTGTATTAAATACTTTTACAAAAATTCCAATAATCAAATCAAAACCTGAAATTATCTCTTAAACATCAGTAGTATCACTTTTCAGTCATGATGCATTAACATTAAGGTACAAAAAAAAAAAACTGTTGTCAACCAATTAAAAAAGTAACAATAAACACACCCCTACAATATTTTTTATTAACAATTTTTATTTGCATAACTTTAATACAATTTCACTAAAACTAAAAAAAAAATCCAGCTTTAAATTTTAAACCAAAACGCTATTAAAAATAGTTAACTAATTGTTCTGTATATCATTTCACCGATCACATCAATCTTTTATGCATTTATAAATCACTTTCACAACTCTGAAAAAAAGTTATTTTAGATCTAAATTTACCTTAAACTACAAGTATTGAATAATTGTAATTGAACTAAAATAACCAATACATAATTACACATACATATTACATATTTACATATGCAATATATACATAATTACTGCAGCAGTTCATTAAGTGCTCTAATCTGCCCATTCATCAAATGTGTAGATGCAGAGCCCTTGCTTAGCTTTGTAAGAGAGAAGTATCGAGTTCAATTACGGAGATATTTCTATTGCTTTCTCACCATTTCCCTGGTAGTAATATGCTAAACTTATTTTCTAGGTACAGCAGCCGTGATCATTAGGGTTTTTGTTTTGATTTTACAAGGTTGAAAGAGGGTTGCAACTATAATTAAAAAATGAGTTTTCTTGACTGTAGTGGCCTTGTGTGCCTTAAGGAGGTAAAAAACAGTAAAAAATAAAAACAACAAATAATAAATTTTACCTTGGCATTGCTTTGAGATGGAAACTTGAACCATGAGTTATTTCCATAAACAGGTTGGTAGCGCATACTCACAGTAAATTTATTTCTTGATCTGAT